AGAGAGGCAGGAGGGGGAGGAGAGCTGAGAGAGAGGGGTGGGGGAGGCACTAGGAGGAGGAGAGAGAGAGAGAGAGAGAGAGACGGAGCAAGAGACCGGCGGCTCAGGAGAGAAGACCAACATGGAGGAGAGACCTGAAAATTCTGTCCTGTGACGGGCTAATTGGCTAGTTCATTAATAAACATTAAGTCCGGAATGGACCATTCGGGCATCGAATCGGATCCTGCACGTCCCAGCCCCAACGCGCCCAGGAGCTCAGTGTTGCTCCAAGCTCGCCCCAGAAAGGATCTCGTCGTCACTCGACATGAAGAAATGGAGGCTCGTCTCGAGCTCTGGGAGTTTCTTGCAGGGCTGAATCACCCGCAGTGGGAATATTTGGGCCTCATTTCTCGGAGGATCATTTCTAATAGGAGCGTGTCTGGTTTCACCTCCCCACACGGGTCTTTTCTGCCTTTCCCTGCGCCCTTCAGCAGCCCTTTGGTACCCGACATGTTCTCTGCAGAACCCAGGGGCCGGGCAACAAATTGGCTGATGAAATTCAACAGAGAAGTGCAACGTCGTCTCACCGGCAACTCCCAGCTGGCCATGGACAGTGTGACACCTGCAAAACCAGCAAACATGATTCTGGGCTGCATTAACAGGAGAGTTGTGAGCAAGACACGAGACGTCATTCTTCCGCTCGACTCTGCGCTGGTTAGTCCTCAATTGGAGTATTGTGTCCAGTTCCGGGCACCACGTTTCAAGAAGGTTGTGGAGAAATTGGAGAAGATCCAGAGAAGAGCAACAGAAATAATTAAAGCTCTAGAAACCAGTTTTCAGGTATCTAAAAGGGTGTCATAAGGAGGAGGTAGACGACGTGTTCATCTTGGCCTCTGCATGAACATGTTCTCTGCAGAACGGCCCTGAGACGCGTCAGTCACGACACCTCTCGGCCTGCCTTGCGGGAGCCAAGCACACCCAGCCCAAGCGCTCCGGGGAAGGTCTTTTCTGCAGTCCCCAGCCTCGGGCTCACGCTTGCTGTGCCACCTCCCGGCCTGCTCGCTGCTCCGCTCACGTCTCTGGGGTGGCTGTGCCGGACTTACCAGCCCAGCGCTAGGGTTGCCAGATGGTTTCACAAAAATGATTAAACTCCCCTTCCCCTCCCCTCCACCACCCAATTAATGCTGGGATAAATTTCTGTGGCGCAAAAAAAAAAGTGACCAGGGTGGAAATGCAGTCCCTGCCCCTTTAATTCCCAGGCTGCTCCTCCCTCCCCCCGCTCCAGCCAGCATGTCCCAAGCGGTTTCCGTCAGGCACCGACGCAGGCCTCGGGAAAAACACAAAGTACCCGACATTTAGCATGTCCAGTATTTTCTCAAGTTTTTTTCCTGGACAGAAGGCGCAAATACCAGGCTGTCCGGTGCAATGCCGGACACCTGGCAGCCCTGCCCATCGCCCTGAAAGCTCCTTTGGAGCAGTCTGCCCAGCCCGACCCCCCAGCCCGTCTCAGAGACGCTCCTCGCCTGGGTACAGCTCCCCATTGCGGGGGGAGGGGCTGCGTGCTTTGGGGCTAGGGTAGGACCCTGCATTTGGCTCTGGGCACCCTGCCTGGTTTTCATGGGTCCAGCTTCCCAAGGGATCCAGACCCCTCCCCCTCACTGCCCTGGCCTCAGCCTTCTTTACGTCCCTGCTCCTAGCGTGTCACCCCCCGTGCCTGAGAGCCGCTGCCCAGCCTTAGTACCGAGGCCCTGCCCGTCTCTGAGTCCTCTCCAGGCCCACGCTCTGCTTCTTGCCACGGGCCACCCCAAGGGGACCGAGCATCCGGGGCCACGGTCTGCGGATTTCTACAGGGGCACGAGGGGATTTTCTCTTCCTTTCCTCAGATCCCCTCACGCACCCACAGCCCTGGGCTCGCTGCCGCCCCGGGGCAGGAGCTTTCAGAGAGTTGCCCTGCTGAGGCCAAGGTCCTGCCACGGCCAATGCGGGACCAGCGCTGTCCACGGCCAGCGGGGAGTTTCCGGTGAGACGACGTTGCACTAATTGGCTAGTTCATTACATTTGAATTTCATCGCCAGTTTGTTGCCCGGCCCCCGGGTCTGTGAGCTCCCTTTGGCGCGTCAGCCTGCTTTGGACTTAACCCTGGGGAGGATGACGTGTGCGCCGGGACCCAGAACCGCCCTGCACAGCACGTGGGCGGAGCCGCTACGCCGGGAGCCCCCTAGTGGCAGCTGGGGCCTTGCTCCTCACAAGCCCCATCCCCGCCAGCTCTCTAAACACTCTCAGTTCAACCTGTCTACGAAGCCAGAGTCTCCAGCCACCGCTGAGCAGACACCGACCAGACCGGGCCTCCACACCCACTCAGCCAACCCTCCCTCGCTGCTCACACTGACCCTTCCGTCCCTCTCTTGCTGGCCGGGCTTCAGTTCCTAGCCAGGCATTCTTACGTTTAAAGAACAGATTGCCAGAGAACTCCATGGCTGGAACTGGTCAAGCTTATCCACAAAAATAGTTTTTGGTGAAATGAGAGATTATGAGGAAAATTTAGGTGGAAAATCATTTTTGGTCAATTTTTTTCTGGGGTTCTGATGAAAATCCCACACTCAGGATCTCAATGGTCTTCAGTTTGTTTGGGCTTTTTTTCATTGAAAAATCACAAATCATATGTTTGTATGAAATTTGGACAAGTTTTGAAAAAATTCTTGTGAAAAGTATTTTGTTTCCCAGGTGTGCTTACCCATAATTCATCATCTCCTAGGAGACAGAGAGAAAAAAGGGCAAATAGATGCCATCAGAAGGACAGTCTTCTGTTTAAATTACAGAACTGAGACCTAAAGTCTCAAAGGGCTATCCCCAGCTCTGCTACGGTTGGCCAGTGAGACATTGGTCAAGCCACTCAATCTCTTTGGATATCAGTTTCCCATCTCCCCTAGTTATAACGCCTCTCTGCTTTGTTTGGGCTGTCAGGATAAATTGAGTAATATGTGTGCGAGGAGCTCAGATAATACAGCGATGGGAGCCGTAGCAATGACTGGATAGCCAAGAACAATAAGGTACAGATCCGGATGGCAAGGGAAACACTAGCAGACAGTGGATAACATAAATTATAAGTTTTATTCCAGCATGTTTACAATTAAGGGTGGAATGGAAAACAGGAGGAGGAATGTACTGCATTAGCAGCTATTCCTCAGGGCCAGTACATGATACAGAATGTCTATGAGGGGTGTAAGTGCCAATATTTCAGGGGTACAGTTGATTGTAGACTACACCAGTCTCTAAAGGGTACTAATGCACTTGTTGGTTTCCTGGACACTCCTGAGCTGTGGATGCATGGATGAAGGCTGCTAGCACTTCAGTTTTACTTCTGTGTAGGTGGGCACTTGGGTGAAGGACACTTCTCCTGGCAGTGGGGTGGAGGACATGGCTCCGGGCACTTGGGTGGAGGACATGGCTCTGGGCACTTTGGTGGAGGACACTTCTCCTGGCACTGAGGTGGAGGACATGGCTCCGGGCACTTGGGTGCAGGACATGGCTCTGGGCACTTTGGTGGAGGACACTTCTCCTGGCACTGAGGTGGAGGACATGGCTCCGGGCACTTGGGTGCAGGACATGGCTCTGGGCACTTTGGTGGAGGACACTTCTCCTGGCACTGAGGTGGAGGACATGGCTCCGGGCACTTGGGTGCAGGACATGGCTCTGGGCACTTTGGTGGAGGACACTTCTCCTGGCACTGAGGTGGAGGACATGGCTCCGGGCACTTGGGTGCAGGACATGGCTCTGGGCACTTTGGTGGAGGACACTTCTCCTGGCACTGAGGTGGAGGACATGGCTCCGGGCACTTGGGTGCAGGACATGGCTCTGGGCACTTTGGTGGAGGACACTTCTCCTGGCACTGAGGTGGAGGACATGGCTCCGGGCACTTGGGTGCAGGACATGGCTCTGGGCACTTTGGTGGAGGACACTTCTCCTGGCACTGAGGTGGAGGACATGGCTCCGGGCACTTGGGTGCAGGACATGGCTCTGGGCACTTGGGTGGAGGACACTTCTCCTGGCACAGAGGTGGAGGACATGGCTCTAGGTACGGCTCTGGACACGGCTCTGGACATGTGGGTGAAGACGGTTCCGGGCACTTCGGTGGACATGGCTCCGGAAACTTGGGGGTTGGGCAGGTTTCCTGGCACAGCGGAGGGCACACTGGAGGTGGCTGGCAGGGCTGTTTACACTGCTGCTGATGGTGAGGCATCTTTCTACGATTCAGGTCAACCTGAAAGGAAAGGAAGAACACAGCCCTGGTGAACATGGGACAATCCTCCAGGAGTTTACCTTCTTGCAGGATGGGATTTTCCAGACATGCCCAAGGGAATTGACTGCTCGAATCTCACAATTTGGACTCCTTGGTAAATCGCAAGCTAAATCTTGCCTCTGCGTACTTTGGCATACATTACATAGGCTCTTACTTGTCATCAGCTGACTGTCCCCCGCAAGATTAAGAGAAAATAATCCAGCAATTTCTGCTTTGTTACCATTCACGGGTCGTCAGTCATTCTCTGCTAACAGCCCTGTAGGAATTCAGCCTGGCTAGGACTCCCCATGCAAATGTCACCCACTCGCCTTCTGGGGGTGGGCACTGTGCCGTCTAATGGCGCTGACACACTAAGGGTCTGGCTACACTACAAAGTTAATTCGAAATTACAGCAGATATTTCAAATAACTTTAATAGCGTCTACACAGGCAAACCGCTATTTCAAAATAAATTCTAAATAGTGGAGCCCTTATTTCGAATTTGGTAAATCTCATTCAGCGAGGAGTAACACCAAATTCAAATAGCTATTTGGAATGAAGCGCTGCGTAGACACTTAATTCGAAATAGGGGACCTCCAGCCCTTCCCAGGGAGCCCTGGTGGCCACTCTGGGCACAGCCAGGAAAACTTCCTCTCCTCTCCCCCAGCCCCGGAGCCATTAAAGGGGTAGACCCTGGCCACAGTGCCTGTGCCAGCTCCAAGCCTGCCAGCCCAGAGCCAGCAGAGGCCACCAGGGCCCCTGACTCAGCGGCCCCAAAACATGAGCCAGCAAGCCACTGGCAGCCAGCCCTCCACCGCTCCCCAGGAGCAGGCTACCAGACATGGCAAAGAGGATGCTACATTCAGCTGCGTCACAAATGATTGCAAGGCAGGACATTGCTATGGGGAGTGGTTGGCAATTGCAAACTCCTTTGGGAAGCACCTGTGTCAAACACTGGCAAAGACAATTGTCCAGCACTGCTAGTTGATGAGCCGCAGAGATTAAAAACCTGCTGCTCTGAGTTTGAAATTCCCTTCGGTTTATTTAAAACATGATAAAATGTTACACACTGAACATCTAAACCTAGTTCAACCCCACGTTCTTTTCTTCACATTTTCAGGCCACCAAACATTTTGAAATCTTTTGTTCCCAGAGCAACCCCAAACCAGTTCTCCAAATGTTTTTGGAATTGCCAATGAAGCACAAGAAATAAAAAATATTTGGCCTAGCTGTAATAAGTGCTTTAACGGAGAAGGAAGGAATTTAAGCTCCTGCTTGAGGCTAAGAAGAAGCTTAAATGATTTTCTACATAGGGCCTCAATCCTTTAACTCAAAACACAGAGGTCTGTGTTACGTGCCGTATGCCCCGGGTGCATCCCTGCTGAAGATTCATAAGCACTGACATGAATCTAATTAATGCCAGTCACCAATGCTGGCAGACAAGTGCAAGAAGCAATAAAGCCCACACAAAGAACACAAGTGTTATCCGAAATAGATCTCTACCGAACCGAGGGCCAGAAGATAATGACCACCACAAAGGGAGCCTTCAGCTGGAAGAGAGACACTTACCCAATTCAACTGAGCGACGGAGAAGCAGTCAGAAGCCAAGTGGATTGTGGAGCACTGTGGA